AAAAATGATATTGTCACGAAAAGTGACACGGATTTGATGTATCCACGCCAAAATGCCAAACCCGTGTCAGGCTGTCAGATATGCTATGAATTTTGATGATTTTATGCTATGAATTTTGATGATTTTATGTCAATTCTATTACTCCCTCCGTTCTTTTTTATTAGTCCTTCTTTCCTTTTTGGGACGTTTTTTTAGGAAAATTCTTAGTGTACATGAATTGTACACAAATTGTACACAAAACCCCTCTAATTGACTAATTGTCTGTGTACAGGCAATTTGTTTAAAAAGGAGCAGAACTTGATGTCAAATTGCCTGTGTACATAATGTCATTTCTTTATTTGTCCTCCTTTCCGTTTAAGGAAAGTCTTTGAGAAAATACCCTCACTTTTATCACTTTTACCTCATTTTACAAACTACTTTCTTTTTCTTACTTTACCATCACTTTACTCTTCTTAATACACTCTATTTCCTACTCTATCATCACTTTACTCTTTTCAATATACCATCTTTACTACTTTATCATTTACCCTACACACTCTATACTTACCCTACTACTTTATTATTAAAACTCGTGTCAAACCCTAAGAGAACTAATAAAAAAGAACGGAGGGAGTATTTTTTAGTGTAACTTACCTGACATTAATGTACCCCGTACATTATTGTTTATTGTTTGTGTATATTAGCTAGGGGTGGGATCGGTCCGCCCTGGGTCAGGTTTTTGCTAAACCCGGAAATTTCCCAGAAGGTCTCGGGTTATGAAAATTAGGGGCCCAAACAAAGTCCGTTATATTCGTCTGAGTCGGGTTTTTGGTAGCCCGGGTTCGGGTTGGACCGGTTAAAGCCCGGCCGTGAAATAATATGTCATTGTTCTTTTATATTTTAACACTTATTTTCAAATAAAATTAATCAAAAATACAAAATGCAAATTAATAACACAAATATTAGTCTCCAAAATCACCAACACTTATATATAAATAATATAGGTTTCTTAAAAATATTACGAAATAAATTTTATAAATCAAAAAGTTACTAGAGTTGCTATAAATATATTCTCATGGTCATCATTACGCTAAACAAATTCAACATATTTGTACTCACTAAAAGTTACTAAATCTTTTTTATCCACCGTGATTATAATCATATATTAGGAAATATTTTATTTATATTCATATACTATATTAATTTTATATTAAAACCAATTGTTTCGGGTTTTTTCGGTCCGGGCCGGGTTATAGATTTTAAGGCCCATTAATGAGCCCGGAATTTTCGGTTCGGTCCGGGTTTTTTTTAATTCAGGCCGGTTAAAAAGAAAAAAACCCGGACCGGGATCATAATTAGGGTCGGTCCAGGGTTGGTTTCTGGGTTTCGGTTCGGTTTTTCCCACCCCTAATATTAGGGGCAGCAGGAGGTAAGGGTCAATATCAAGAAATTAGTTGAGAAATACGGAGTATTAAAGACTACAAATAGATGTTTAAACCACCTTGATTTCACTCTTCGATTGATTATTTGTGACTTGTGACTTTGTGAGCCCATTTCCTCAATCTGTGAACTAGTTGGATTCGATTGATCGATCTAATGCGTTTTTATTTTGTTGAAGCAATAGTGGGAGGAGTTGAAGAATATGAGGAACCTCATAACCAGAAGTCGTAGGAGTGCTGTGCTTCCCATAAAAAGAAAATTTCCAAAAGTTTTCAATGAAAATTGAATTTATATAATTTTTAATAAGTTCAATCTGAAAATAGTTTTTACACAATTCAGGCGTAAAGTAAAAAAGTACGGAGTAGTACTCAATAAAAAACAATTAATTAACTTACAGTTTTAATGCAAATCAGCAAATGTTTGATCTTTGGAGCATTGTTCTTCTCTTTCTTTAAGCTTTAATTAAAAAATCTAATTACTCAAAATGAGTTCCTAGCTTTGAATAAGGAGAATCGTTAAACATAATATTGGTAAAAATTAATGAAGAGAAAATATGTGTAGTTAATCATTATGCATTTTACTTCGAAAATAATTTTATTATAAATGCCGATGTGACAAGTTATACCATAAAAATAAGCAGTCAACTTTTGAATTGGAAGAGCCTTTTATTCTTTTTAGCGCAATATTACTCCCTCAATCCCAAAAATATTGGTGGTCAACTAATTCTTGTACTCCCTCAATCCCAAAAATAATGGTTAAATTGTTTTTTATCAATGATTGTCAAGATTGAACAATTATATTTTTAATGCAAAATTATTTAAAATATGAAAATTATAGGTTGTCCTCAATTCATCCATGAAAGTGGAATTAAAGGCTTATTGACGAAGGAGAGAAGCTAGTTGGAGCATTGACGTACGTAAGAAATATGAGTGGTCCCATTCGAATTATAAACCCCAATTTTATTTAAAGAATTATAACTTTTTAATTTTTACTTCAATTTTTATAAATGATATATCAAAATTCATAATTTTTAATTAATTCTCTTTCATATGACATCAATATCACATATATGAATTAGAAAAATAACTTTTAAATGTTATTTAGACTCAAATTTTTTGAATTGATTAGACTCGATTTAGACTCGAATTTTTTAGACTCAAATTTTTTCTTAAATATAATTTTTAAGAAAATTAAGATATATTTTAGAAATTTTTTCTTAATATAACTTTTAAGTACTAAGATTAAGATCTCATGAGTAAAATATCTTTTTACATCTTTCAATTTTTTCCCCAATTTTACTTTTTTTACATCGGAATGTTTGACTTTTAAATCATAATCAATTTTTAAAAAATTGGAAAATTTTGATGCATAATAATAAAAGTAAGGTTTTAATTTAAAAAAAAATTTTTGAATAGATATATTGACGGTGTTGGATTGTAGTAAAAATTGAATTGACCGAATGAATATGTATAGATTGGTGGGAAACACATTTTATTGACGGAGATCGGTTGCGGTTAGCCTAAGAGTATATTCTTTATTGTTTTTTTTATAAAAATACAAAATGTATAAATTACACACAAATATATAATAAATATATAATAAGTAAAAATCAATATGATTAAAAATCAAATTGATCAATCTTTTTTGGACATGCATTTATCTCTAGGAAGGGCCAATACTATGCCATCCGAAAACTTCATGTTCGCGACAACTTAAGAACTATTTTTCATTTTTGTAAAATTATATGATTAATAGCGAACATGAACAACATAAAGGAATTTTTATGAAACACAATCCAATTTAAACTCCAGTACGCCATTTCGTTGACAAAAAAATGAAAAATAATTAGTTGAAAACTTTTATGATGCTCAAATACCTTTATTCAAACAACTAAATAACTACTTAGAAAAAACTAAATAACTTTTGTAGCGTGTGTGGTGCCCATTACGAGCCGCGTCAAATGTGGTTACAATGTGGCCGTCACCATGCACAATAGTACACCAATTTATCACCGCACACTTTCTCAATATTGGGGCCTCAACTCTCAAGTCTTCAAAAATATCGGTTTCGTTCGACAATTTTGGTTTGTTTAGTTTGAAACAAGTTGGAAAACTATTACCAGAAAAAATTACTATTTTCGGTTTGGTTCAGTTTGATTAGTTCGGTTTGGATTTTTTAATTTTTAATAATATAGGAATGTTTTGTTGAATTTCTTTAGTTCGTTTCAATTTTGTTCGAATTTCAGCTCAATTTGGTTTGATACGGTTTTGAAGAAATACTGTAAAACTCAAATCAATTGATTTGGTTTGGTACGACTCGGTTCGATTACAAAGGTACCCTTAATTACAAATTGGTCTTTGGGTGCCGATCCAATTAACGTCCTCACTAAGAAGCACACTCGCGTGATGAATAATTAAATTTAATTCTTTAAAAATATTTAGAGAATTTGATCATTCATAATGCAGGAGCACCGAGTACGTTGGCATTCTCAATATATTTTGTGTGCCAAAGACTGAAAGACATCTTCATCATTCCAAGTCAACTACTAATCTGCAGTGTTCCACATTTTTAGTCATTTTCCATCACTTTACCATACCAAAGTAGCCTTTAGACTAGGGTTTTTTACAAGAATATTACTAAAATAAAACTTATTTACATAAACATGACTATTCATTACTACAAAGTAGTGTTGTGGTAATTTAAGTTCAAAACTTGAACATGAATTACTATGATTTCATTACTACTCTAGTAACTAGTCATATTTTTGTAAACCATCTTTATTTTGGTCATATTTGTCTAATTATTTCTTTAGACTATTACTCTATTAGTAATTACATGAATATAACTATAGTCATTAAAATCGAAAAATTTCACTAATAGTTATTTCATACTCCGTAATATATTTGTCAATGCCTTTTTTTAATGGTAACGTTTAAGGAAATTCCTCAAAAATTACTTGAGTCACATTTTCATTTTTATTCTTAATAGGTTTAAATATGTGTTTAGTCCCTGCAAATATTGCACATTTTGTTTTACATCCCTGCAAAATTATTTTTTTATTTTCGTCCCTGCAATTACGTTGGTTTTCTTTTTAGTCCATCATTGATGATAACAATCTCCGTTTGACCTTAAAATAACCCCGATTAATAGATTTCCTTAATTCTTTGTCATATTATTTAAATAGTATTTTATTGTATTTTTTTTGAAGGTTTTTAATCTATATTTTTAAAATATGAATACTTAGTTTTAAATTATTTTAACTCTCATACTAGCCTCAAAAAATTATAAAAGGATAAATTCAAATATTTCTACTAGATTTATATAATTGACAATAATTTTGTTGTAAGTAGAGTAGTTTCGGAACTGGAGATGGACTAAAAACAAAATAGTGCATATTGCAGGGATGAAAAACAAGAAAAATATTTTGCAGGGACCTAAAACAAAGTGTGTCATATTTGCAAGGAGTAAAAACGTATTTAAGCCTTCTTAATATTTTAGAGAAAAACTCTAATAAAATCGGTAACTATTTTTAGTACTCTTATAGACTTATTAATGTATTATTTAAACAATTTTTGTGACAGAAACAAGAGTATTGGCTGGCAAAAAATGATATTGTCCCCTTCCTATCAAACATCCTGGAGAAAGCAAGGCGCCAACCGGACGATTCAACCGACGCCCAACTGATTCAGAGAGGTATCAGATTCCGGAACGGCGACGAGATTCCATGGCTGGAAAACAAAGCTATTGAGAATCCCCATCTTTCCTTGACCACCGGCGTTGACCCTGTGCAACCCACTAAAGATCTCTCTACATTACTGGAGAGCCTCATAAGCGCAGCGGAAGAGAACAATTACAGTGTGGAAATGGCGATTCTCTGGGCCTTGGAAAGTGTTTACCACGACAGCTTTGCGAACTGTTTGGGAGATGAAAATTCTCATACCCCAGAGAACATGAAAGAGGTTTGTAGGAAATGGGGAAACGATGCTTTTGGAGACTACTGCGTTTCTCTTCAAAGCGCAGCCGATCGAGCGTTGGAGAAAGCTTCCCCTGATGCTATTGCGAAAGCTGAGGTTACTCTGTTGCAGTTTCTTGAGATTGTGGTTGAGTTTTGGAATGTGAACATGAAAACTATGCAACCAAACGCGGCCTAGATGGATTAGAAGTTTAGAACCAAGCTAATCAAGTATTGTGTTTTGTATTATACTTTGTAGAATTGTACATAATAAATAAGTGTTGGTCCAACAAGGGTTGTGGTTAAAAGTAGGCTTGACATTTTGAATCGAAAAATGAAAGTGCAATTTGAAAACTGAAAGTCTTCAAACTGAAACCAAATTAACATGAATGAGAACCAAAATTCGGGACCTGAATATTAATCAAAACAATCCGTTCAAATCTAATCAAACCAATTTTTTTATCAAGTGCTACAAGATGAAAATAATATACCTTTGTTGAGGAAAAATTAACATTCCTATTTTGGAGTTCCATAATGTTTTTACACCAAGAATTTACAATAGAAAGAACGAAGAATTTTTTTTTTATGTTTCATATATTCTTTCGCTTTTTTAACAAAAATAAGCTTCAAGAGAACACATATCAAATGTACATCATATAAACTGCTGGTGTTAGAGCATCAGTAATCCTGAAAAAGGCTTCACTTTAGTAGCATGAATGAAATACAAACTGCTTCTTAAACTGCTTCTTATTAGTACATGGAAGTTTGCATTTCACTTCAAAGTTCAAACAGCCATATATGAGTACACAATTTGTACATATCCTATTTACTTAGCAGTCTGTGTTCTTCTACTTGCCAAGGTGCAGACTTCTACTCTACTTGGGTATTATTTATCTGGATTAGAACCTTTATTCCTTTTATTCACACTTTTATCTTTATTATACTTGACCATCCTACTTGCCGTGAAGTGCAGTCTGGCGATAAGAGGACGAGGTGCTCGAGTTTTTCGATCAAACCCCCTCACACATACAAATCCTGCAATATGCGTTGAGAATTTATAAAATGAAAATGACTGAGATAAACCAAAAGGGATAGCTTGCTATAGCAATTGAGGTTCCCTAGGAGCTATTACTGGGCACTCAGATTAATATAAATATATTTACTTTCCATTCTGATATTCTCTTATGCAATTCGTTCCTTTTGTGTGTGGGGTGGGCATATGTAACTTTACTATTTGATTATACAGTTGGTTCGTCCAAGGCTATGTTTGGAACTTGGAACTAGCAAAGATCATTTGATGTGACCTTATAAACTAGTCAAAATACCAAATAAAATCAAATTTGATTAATTATTCAATCACTTCCACATACACATGATTTATAATTTATATAATCGAAATATGCAAATAAAAAGAGTTTCGACAAATGTCAAAAATTGATTTATTGAAATTGAACCTTTTATTTATTCCCCCAAGTTTTCTTTCCTTCTAAATTTCTTCTACATGACCCTCCCTTTTTTCTCAGCATTTCCCTGAGTTCTAAAAGACCCAATTAATCTAGGGTTTTCTTCAGTATTCAGAGAGTTTCTGTATAAATCCTTGTGTCATGATTGTTTATTTGTTTCCTAAATTATTTATGTTCTAAATGAAATAAGTTGTCCGTACCTCTCCAAAAGCAATGTTGAATTTGATCTGTGGACAGGCCTAATAAACACACAAAAACCAGTAGCTTTAGCTTGATTCTCAATCTATCATAAAGAATCATTACAGTAAAATAAGAACTTTCTCTTAGCATACCTTTAAATATCGTTGTGACTGTGGTCCCAAAATACACCGTCCTTCTTGGGAGGTACCATATTAATCGTCTTGGAACATCAATAGGACTAAGACTAGATTCATGATCAGCAAATAACTGCATAATCATATCAAAGAACAGTTGTAATGATTATCTGCTTTTTGCTGGTATAAGCATTTCTAACCCCAACTACCCCCCACCCCATTCAAGTCTTTGTTGCCTTGTATTCTTAGAACCTTATTTCCTTGTGTGGTGGGTAATATGAGGACGAATTCCCAACTTAGGATACTATAACAGGCCCCATCACTTTGAAACGAGTTGGATTTACCGAACTAACCAAGTGAATTGGATTTACCTCATTGACTTGAAAATATGTTCCGTTCAACGGAAAGCTGCCCTTCATTGCTGTTCGGCATGGTATCTATAACAATAATGTAGGTGATTTAATACAAATTAGAGATTCATGCACCCGGGTTTCTTTCGTAAGAACATTTTGTAACGTCTGATTATGATATGATGTTTAGGTTTCTCACCAAGAGTGTGCCTCTGACTGTTTGTGAATCATTCTCTTTAACAATGCTGCATGAGTAGCATGTGCTTTCTTTGCACAGTGTGCCTGATCCTTGCGAATCACATACCGTTTGAGGAGACTGAATTGAATTTGCAGTTTCACCTGACCATTCAAATGTGTCCATTTGGGGCACACAATAAGATAATATCAGCTAGAAGAAAAGAACAAATAAGACACAGAAAGAAAACACAAGGTTAACTAAATTTTGGACATAATATCAAAACTTCCCTCCATTCTCAAATAACCGTCCAATAATAGATAAAATTGTGGTTTTTAAGGTGAAAATCAAAATTTTCACTAATTGAAAGGCATACCACTATTAACTTCTAGATATTTAAAAAGACAAGCAAAAGTGAAGTAATAAAGGAGCGTAAGTCATTTTAATTTTTTTACTTTGGTTTGCTGAATGGACAATTTTTTGCGAACAAAATGCACTTAGTTAAGATACAACTATTTGAGAATGGTGGGATTAGAATTACGTAAAAAAAATGTGCTTGATTACCTGGTGCCCATATAGCTAGAAGGTATGGGCTTGGATCATCAGGTTCACGCCTATCCATCTTAAAGTTAAGAGATTGTAGGGTCAGTATTCAATTTAACTCAAAGAATTCCACATTTGGTCCAAAGTTACTAGGTCATTCTCACTTTATTTCCCTTGCTTTCACATTTTCTACCTTTGGTGCCCGACTACGGATTTCTTGTCACTTTTGGTCCTTCTGGTCACTTTCCGGTGTAATTTCTGGTTTATTTTTGCCCGATATGTGACACAAAAGGATCAAAAGTGACAAGAAATCCATAGCCGTGTAACCAAAGTGGAAATAATGAAGGGCCGGACCAAAAGTGGAAATAACGCAGGGCCAGACCGAAAGTCTTCTATTTAACTTCAAGCAAAGAGAAGATTCATGTCTCACCCTTTCAAGCAGTGGATGTGAATCTGGAAGTTCATACCTGCAAAACAATGAAATAGCCACTCTATAACTTCACTGTCATAATCATTTATACCAGTGATTTCAGTCTTGTACAAAACAATAATTTCTAGTCTAACATTCTTGTACAATTTTTCAATGATTTCAGATTTTTAGGCCGTGCTTTAAAAAAAAATTAGTTCCAAAACCATTAGTATTTGATTAATTTTTCAGAAATTTGCCTAGCAAGACCTAAACACAAATTCAAAACTTAAGTACTATTACGACATTTGTACATCACCAAAATTTAAAACAAGTACATTACACAAACATTACTTTGGGGGAGGGGCAAAGGTAGTATTTTTTTCATCTGAAAGTGAAGTAATTTTTTGTTTGGAAACTACACCAAAATTTAGAAACTTACACTTGATGTTCTGTTCGCAGGCGGCTAACATTTTTCAGTTTTGGAGTAGGTATGAAAGCCACTTCTGGATTAACAGAAACTAAAGCTTTGGAAATATCGGATTCCTCCATTCCCTTCTTTTCTTGCAAGATATTCTGCAAATTTGTTGTGAATTCTTCGATGTTGAGTTTGATTGTGGGGATCTCATCATCACCATCATTATAAAACGCAGCATCTTCAATGTCACATTCAGAAATTTCTGGAAATGGTTCTGGAGTTGCTGGTTCTTCGATAATGGGTTCACAGTTGTCAGTAATGGACCCCACTGCAGCTTCTCTATTTAAGTTTGTTATAACCTCTGGCCTTCCACAAAGAAGTGACGGATTGGGGTTGAATAATGCTGAGTGGTTTGCATTAGCTGAGATAGGTGCAGTTGAACTCATCATACTTCTTTCTTTTGGCCCTGGTAAGGCAAGCCTTACACTGTGGGAAAACATAATTAAGAGATTAAGAGATGACAGCTTAAAACCTATCAACTGTTCCAGATCATTCATATGTGAGTGTTTCGCTTATTATATCATCTTATGTGGGCAGCTGGGATGGAGGATTTTGGAGGGAGAGGTTTACAGGGCTTAGTCTTAATCTTACATATTTCCCTATGTGTTTTGTATTAAATATTGACGCACAAAACAGAAAAACTATTTGATGCCCATATATTTACTATTACTAATTGTACAGATAAAAAAGACTACAGAAATGGGAAAATATACTGCGCGCTCTTAACATATACATGATCGGATGGAAAGTACTACATATGTGTATATGTGTATATATGTATAATTTTTTGAGTTCAAAAAAGACCTAGAGGAAACGATAAGCTTTATGTTTTAATGTAGATATTGCATGAGCAATTATTTGAATATCTGACCTTGCAAAAGCACTAGCAAAGTGTCTACATTCTGCTCTCATTGGGCACGCATTACAGTTCGGTTTACGCTTTGTGCAGAAAACCTGAAAATTAGGAAAGAAGCACCCAATATGGCCAAGTTGTGCATAATAATTCAAATGAAGACACAACTGAAATTACTCTTGCAGCATGCAACACATTTTACCTTTCCGAATGTAATCATCTGGTAATGCAACTCATACCTGCAGTCAGAAAATCCTCATTTTAGTGACATGAATAGTACATTAAAGAAAAAGCTTTACCACTGTAAGTCCTCTCCCACTATTGTGACAATGACACTTTTGTACCCGTATTTAAAGTTTTTCACTTTTCACTTCAGTCATATGATTAATTAATTATTCGACAGTGACTCTTTTGGTCTTCTAACTTTCGTTATTGTGACACTTTAGTCCTTCAACTATTGTGGCAAACTTGAAAGACGAGTCCCTAAAGTTTCACCGTCACAATAGTTAAAAGACTAAGAGGTGAAAAAATCAAAGACGGTTAGACAGGCACCAAAAGTGTAGCTCTCGAATATTCAGAGGACAATAATCGGAGGACTAAATGTAGAAAAAACTAGTTAAGTAAGTTTCCAGGCCATTTCTAGTGGAAAAATAAATATTTTTAAGGAAATAAGGATTTGGAGCTTTGGATGATATATTACAATGTTTTCTGATCCAGCTTGCAAAGTCTAGG